AAGTTTAATCTTTTTGGAAATTATATACAATTAAATATTCCCAAAAAATGACAGTTATTTTCGTTAGTAGAATTTATTTTCATAAGTTTATTTAATTATATTACATATAATTAATATGTAATTAAAAGAGAAAAATCTTTTATTAAAAAAATTCATATTACGAAAATACTTATATCAAATTTTTTATATCTATTTAGTTAAGTTTTCCAATCACAAGAGGTAATGTAAATTTATAATTAAATAATACCACTAGTTTAAGAAGATTAATACACATTTCTAACAAAGAATCAATTTAACTCATTTTTTTAATATCTCCAAATTAATTGTCTAGTTCTTATATTTAGGATCGAAGATAGTAATATTTTAAAAATATGAAACATGATGATGCATAATTAAAAAATTTAATATAACAAATATAAAGAATATAATGTAAGTATTATCTAACCAAAGAGAATTACTAAATTCTGTATGCAAGAGGCAGCTAATTCTTCGTTGTTGTCACTCATGTCATAAAGTAAGACCACATTTTTCTCGTTTGATAGTTGAGAGTTTATTAGGTTCTATAAATATATTTTTAAAAAAATGGCAACTCCCACTTAGCATTATAATTTATGAATTTTTAATCAATTATTGTGCAAAAGTAAATCTATTAATTCCTTAAATAATAATATTGTGATCCACTTCAATAAGTGCCATATGCGTCATCTCTCTTCTCTTTAATAGAATGTCCATTCATACAGATAAATAATTACATGTAAGACCAATATATATAATATAAAATTTTATGAAAAGTTGTGGTATTAACAAATTATACAGTTTAACTCATTTATCAAGTTTCTGTAATATATGGAAAATGTGTTTAATTGTATATTGATATATTATCTCGGGTTTTTAATATAAAAACTAATTGACTAATTAAAGTAGATTAAGAAAGTTTATTAAGTTAGTTGTTTATAATAAATAGGTGTTATTTTTTCTAAAATACTCTTGCAAATCATGTGCACTAGCTAGAACTACCATTTGATAGAATATTCAACATGTGCAACTACTAATATTACAAGAAGTAATTTAAAAGGATGAATAAGTATAAAAAAAATATATTAGGATTTTATATTTAGAACTAAATTAAAAGTAAAACTAACTTGTTTATTAAGGACGGAGGTTGTACTTTTAAACCCATCACAATGAATTCTTATTTTCTTTTTTCATTTACATCTCGTTAAGGGGATTTATATCATATGATTTTTTTAGGATTAGTATAAATTTTAATCTTTTAAGTTTGTCTTCATTTTAGTTTTGGTCTTTCAGTTTAAAATCATAGATTTTAGTTTATCAAGTTTCTTTTTATTTAAAACGTTAATTTCTATAATCCAATAAAAACTTAAATCATTTTGTCCCTTAAGGGATCAAAACTTATAGCTTGAAACTCCAGGAATCAAAACCAAAATGAAAGTAAATTTAAGAGACTAAATATTATGTTACCCCTTTTTTAATTTAGAATTAATTTCACTTTTTTTGATGCATAATTATCCTCCTAATGAAAGCAATCTTATTAAAATATTATTAGACACTAAATGTAAATATCTCTTTTAATGAGGATTCGAACCTTGGCATAAATATTAATTTAGACTAAAACTTTTGGTTGATGCAATATAATTAATTATCTAAACATAACGTCCGTATATACACACACACACACCATAGATGGCAATATATATGTCATAATTTTATCTTTCGCAAGTAAATAATATTCAACCAAACTTTTTGCGAATAAAATTAGTACCAATAAATCTGTTTAAGAAATACTATATTTAGAAGATATAAAATTTTTTAGCATATTGTTCAGAAATAATCATAGACCAAAATGATTGGATTTGGGATTTTCATAATTGTGCTTTATATTAATTTTTTTCAACAAACTCCATATGTATTAATTGCATGCATAAACTAATATAACACAATATGAAGTTATCACAAACATTAAGAACATATTTACAAGCATCATCATATCAAAGTAAATAATTAAATAAATTATGCAATTACAAAACATAGATTGGTCTAAAAGAAATATACGTGAACATTTGATTCCATCCATGTTGAGTATAATAAATAATAAAAGTTGAATGATTCAATTTACATGTTCAATAACTTTGATGTCACTGTTTTGTCACATTCACGCACATGAATTATATTATCTGGTTGGCGAAAAGAAAGGTTTATATTATTTGTTTTATTTCTCAAGCAAGACTCTTAGTCCCTTGGCATATCTCACAGGTCATTTAATATATAAAATAAAATAACATAGGTGTAGATGACAAATAATCATATGACATTTATTATTTAAAAAAATTATAAAAAAAAGACAATGCTTGATTAACAAAGCATTGAATTATAATCAATTCTCAATTTGCCTAGTCAATTTGACTAGTCCATGTGTTGAAATAGTAGCTAATAGGTTGAATAAAACATAATAAAATTGAGTTAATAGCATCTTTGACTCTTAAAATTTGACCTCGTTTTGATTTTGCTACATGAATTTTAAAATTATTAATATTAATTTCTAAAATTTGATCTCATTTAGATTTGTTTAAAGATTTTTTATCTTTGAAATAATTTTGTTGGTTATTAAAACCAAAACCGTTGATTTCAAATTTCACAACCAAAGTTAAAATGATGTCAAATTTTATGTACTAAAAATGATATCAATCCTAAATATATATATATTTTTTCAATAATATAGATTCATTCCGTTATTTGAAAGCTTATTATTGAAGAATTGTAGCCCCATCCAGGATCCAACCTGTTTGTAAATTACAAAAATAATTGGCAAAAATCAATTATTTTTTATTGTAAGCTTGTCAATCATTCTATAGGCCCTCTATTTTGATGATTCGGAAATTGTAGCATGACGTGGAAGATTTGAAAAGTGAAAGGTTCGAGAACAAATTCTAAGGTCCATATTCATTCGGCTTTATTCCAAGTCCGAATTCTCGCAATTAAATACTTTTGAAAATAACACCACAATATTTAGATTTTCCCCCCCCTTAAAGTATACAGTTGATCCTTTAATTATACAAGGTTTTAATTTGGCCTCTTAACTTTAAAAAGTATGACCTCAGGTTTTATTTATAAAACCTCATTTGTAGTCTACAAACCAGGTTTTATAAATAGGACTGGAGGTAATATAGTTTTAGTCTTTTAACTCAAAAATTATTCAACTCAAACGAGAATTTTTCATAATAATCATGGTTATTTTGAAAATTAAACCTAATATGTTAATATTTTATGAACATTTAAAATATGAGTATCATCAATTTTTTAATAAGTTTAAGATTAAATGAATAAAAATATATTTTTTAAATTAAAAAAACCAAATTGAAACTCTGTATAAAGTTAAAAAACTAAATGTAAACTTTAGTTTTTTTAAAAAAAAATAAAAACGATGTTTATGTTTTTTTCACATGTCACTTCATCATGGTCTACTCCATCAAAAACATTGTAAATTTATCAAAAATTACAGTCTGTTCTTTAAAAAAATAATGTAATCATCAAAATTCCCATATCAAGTAAATGACAACTTTCAGTATATTATCCAGGCTGAACTATGGGCAATAGCAGATGGGTTGGAACTGGCCTGGGCGAGAGGTTACAGGAAGGTAAAGCAGGAAGTGGATTATTGTTAGGATTTTTTACTAATTATACTCTTTCTTAGAATTTTATAGTAATTTCCCCAAAAAAAAAAATTTTTCCATAAATATTCTGTAAATATTAATTTTTTTACTAGGGACAACAATATTACACAAGAAAAGACACAGCGAAGAATGAACCCGCAACCCCATCATCGTAGCAAGGTTTTTGGTGCCATTGAACTCACACAATCATCAATAGATATCAATCAATATATAAAATATAAATAGTGTGAGAGCAACCTATATTTGAGACTTGACTATTATAAAAATATAAGCCAATATATTTTGGTAGGTCCAAATTACTATTGATCACGGATAGGCTCTCAAGAAATACAGAAATTATATCAGGGCCTTGGCTGTGTTTTTGGCCTCCTACATATTCTCTCAATTTTGTTGATGGTGATGATTTTGTTTGAAATTTTGTCGGATACCTTGTAATAAGTATTCAAATATTAACTTGCTATGTCATTTAAACAAAAAAAAAACTAATACCTTTCACTAAATTCAACTCTTGTTAGTTACTTATTACTTATTTTGCATACTCTTCTTTTAATAATTGAGCACATGTAAATATTTTCTGGGCTTCACCGATTCACTTGAGACGTTAAGAATAAAAAAGACTTTCATTAAAACTCCTGAAATTTTGCAACGTTGCCTTTCTCCGTAATCCACTTTTTCAATGGGCCAAGAAAATACATCCGGATGTTCTTTTTTCATGAAACAAATTTGGGCAAAATAAGGAGCCTTTGAGGCCGGTTTGGACCAACATTGCAAAAAGACTTGCAAACACTTTTATACAAGTCAAAACAAAATAATTCTCATACTTATCTTGTATTTTGTAAATTATATTTAAAAAACTATTTATAAACCATTCTAAACAAACCTGAATCTCATCATCTTAAGAAAGCATAAAACTAAAAATCCACAGCACCATTTTAAATTTTTAATTTGACCAAAAAATTTTAAAAAAATGATGAAAACACACCTATTGATTTCAAAAAGATTAACTACTTTTATAATTTCACCTCAAGTATTTTTCTATTACTCTCCCAAATTCGAGCTCAAACACTAGCCAATCCAATTTTTGTTGCCCAAGTAACAGCTAACCATCCATTATTCTCATTTATATTTTTAACAGAACACTCAATATTGCTCACAGGTATTTCGCCAAATACTTAAGACGACGAGGGCTCGCCTTCATAATTACACAAATTTAAAATATTGAAGAAAAGTGGCAACATAAAATAACGGAACTAAATTTTTAAAAGAAAAACTATCACTCTATATGAAAGCATTATGTCAGCACAGCACTGAATGATTGCGTTGGGGCGATAAAATCTTGGATGAACTCAGCTTCATAATATTCTACAATCTAAGTTCAAAACTAAATGAAATCGGGCACATGCTAGGCCAAAACAGAAGAGTCAAGAAATAAAATTTAGAATTCCAAAATTGACATCCAACTTAAGCCACAATATATTGTCTTGGTAAGGGGCAAAGAGAAAAGCCACAACAAAATACAACTCCCAACACATGCAATTTTGCAAGCTTAAAGCCTTCTTCCTCTTCTACCACCCTTTCTCCTGGTGCTGTCTGATGGGATCGGGGTCACATCCTCTGCAAAATCCCACATCATACATGAACAAATTAACAAATCTAATGGAACAGGAGGACACTAGGGTAAAATGCAAATGGCCCCTTCAACACATGGCAAATCAAACCCTACGTAATTCAGGCAACTTTATCAACACGATAGGAATAGACAAACAAGATTTCAAACTGTAAACTTAAAGCATGTTTGGTTTCACAAATATTTTCCAAAGCCATTTACTCTACAAATCTCAATTTTCCCAATACAATCCTACAATGATGTTAAATCTATTGAAAACTAAGTTATTAACTCACGACAGAATTCAAACCAACAGGAAGTCACATATTAACTGAGTTTAATTGGAAAAAAGGAAGAGGTGTAAAGGGAGGAAATAAGTCAAACTCCTATAGTTTCAACCACTCAGACTGCATGGGTGACTACATAACATCCAATTTCTTTTTTGGCCGAGCACTAGAATTAGTAGTTCATAAAAAATAAATAACCAAACATGAAACAACATAACATCTTCAGACAAGCAAATCAATTCTTAAAAATGTGCATTACCTATACGACCAATTTTCATTCCTGATCGAGCAAGGGCACGGAGTGCGGACTGAGCACCAGGACCTGGTGTTTTTGTCTTGTTTCCACCAGTGGCACGGAGCTTGATATGAAGAGCAGTTATGCCCAGCTCCTGTTCCATAACTCAAAAGTCAATTAACAACTTTTGACTACTTAATAAAACAATGCAAACATCCAAGTGCTAATGATTCAGCACACTTGAACTAACAATTAATTGAACACCTACATAAAACTAAAATCCCATCAATAGTGCTAGATTACCAATGCAAGAAGGCAATCGTACAAAAATTAGAATGAAATCCAAACAGATAGAAACGGTTGGATCCAATGAGATTAATTTAAAGATCTGGTTTATAAAGAAATTGATGACCTTGCATCTAGCAGATACATCCTGTGCTGCAAGCATAGCAGCATAAGGGGAAGATTCATCTCTGTCAGCCTTCACCTTCATTCCCCCTGAAGATAAGAACCAGGTCTCATTAGAAAACACAATCTCGACTTCTCTGTGTTCACATTTAATTTTGTTAATGTTCAAATTTAATTTTCTTAAAATGCCAGAGCAATATCTGGCAACATATCTTAACTCTTGAGACCATTTTATATTTTATAATTATATAATTAAGAGGACCAATTCGAAAGGCTAGATGAAATTAACAGAAAAGGTAATGCACGCCTAAGCAAAATTGACATATTAAACAAAGCAACAGAAAGGGGGAAACTCTTTACCTGTTATACGGACAAGGGTTTCCCTTCCAGACAAATCAGTGACGTGCTGTAACAAAGCAAATGATCAATTATACTGAGAATTTTCAAGATGCAACCTTATATGGAAGAATATACGCTTCATGTGCTCACAATGAATGTGTCATTAAATGATGCATAGATATGGGCAACGCCAAAAACATGTTCGCCATCTCTGACAGTTGGGCCAAGAGTAACAGTTTCTTCCTTGGGCTCTCTAACCTTTCTCCTTGACTGTTTACAAATCACACAGCACAATTAGAACTGAATGCACCGCAAATCGATTTTTTTTTTTAAAAAAAAAAAACTGGATCAATGCAAGAAAAACAAATTCTGCATAGGGCTAACATAACAAGCTAAAAAGTTAACAATAAACTCTCGGAAGACTTAATTTTTTTATGAGCCCCGACGATCTTAATTTTATACTAATCTGACAGGTGACCTCATTTATGAGGCTGGCAATGAAGAAAGGCGACCCTCTTCTTTCACAATGAGTTACATTACTCTAAAATTAGTCAAAATACATCACTTAGACATTCCCCCAATTCAGGTACCACCAACGCGACAGACAGTTTCCCCAGCAGTGTCAGAACAGTTCAAAATAAACCCAGAAAAATGTCGACGGAATCATGACACGAAACTGCATAAGAAATCGCAGAAATACCAACTCTTACGAACCAACGGGAGCTTAAATTCATAACCACGCAGTTTATTAATCTTAATCATCCCAACCTCCTATATATTCACATAACAGTTCTACACTATAGAGAAGAAGCTAATACGATTCAGAGACTTCCATGAAAAAACAAAGTAGATTTAACATAAATCAGAGTAGACATAGCATATCGACATATTCAAACGCAATTCCTAACCATGATTGCGAGGCAGCAGGGTAGAACACGGGGTCGTGCGTGCGGCTTCTGTGTTTCTGCTCCGACAACGCGAAAACCCTCGCTGGGTGAACCAGGAAAGACGACTCATATTATATATGGGCATGCTTTTAGGGTTTTGCGGCCCACTTTTGCACTTGGGCTTTTCTTGGTTCCAGACGGTTTTTGGCACCCAATGGGGTCAGTCCATTATGATTGTAACCTGACAATTTTTTTAATAAATTTTTTCTTATAAAATATTTTAATTATTCAATTCTCCTTTAAATTTTTACTGAAAATTTGTTTTATCAGTATTAGATGAATTAGATGAATGCATAACCTAAAGCCTATATGAAAATGGCATTGTTCATAACGTCATATCTTAAATTGGCATTATGATCTACCCGGTCTATAAAAGAAGGGATTGACTTGTTTGAATTAGTATTTACAGAAATGATTTTTATTCCAACTTACTCCTGCAAATTGAGATTTAAATAAAAATTAGTTAATATGATATTATTTATATTTGGACAGAATAATTTTATAAAGAAGAGAGTTTCCTTGAAATTTCTGACTAAATCCACATACTACAAATACAATAATAACAACAAAAGTCTTATCCCATTAAGTGGGGTTGGCTATGTGAATTGCACAAAGGTATTGAGCTCTATCCAAAGCAAAATCCCTAGATATATTATTAGTTGAAAGATCTTGTTTAATAACTTCAATAAGTGTTCTCCGTGGTCTTCTTTTACCTTTTTTAGGGAATTTCATACTGTTTGATCAACCCTTCTCACTGGTGCATCCAAATGCTTTCTTTGCACGTGACAAACCCATCTCAAATGGTTTTCTACCATTTCTCACTAATAGTCGCAATTCCAACTTTTTCGCATATATGCCCATTGTGAATTCTATGTTTTTTTGGTATGATTACGCGTCCATCTTGGCTATCTCTATTGTATATTCATGTTGTCCCTTCCACTACTATATAGCATTATTGGTCTTATACTAGTGCGATAAAACTTTCTTTTAATCTTATTCGGTACTTTCTGATTACAAATAACTCTTGTCACTTTTCTCCATTTAAACCGCCTAGCTTGAATTTTATAATTAACATCACCATCAATTTCACCATCTTTTTGTATAATTGATCCCAAACATCTAAACTTTTCGACTTTCGTAATGAATTGATCTCCCAATTTAACCTCCATATTTGTTCTAACTTGTCTCCTTATAAAAATTGTTCTAACTTGTTCTAAACTTCTCCATAATGTATATTTTATCTTGCTCCTTCTCAAACAAAACCCCTTTGATTCCAAAGTTCTTCTCTATATCTTAAATTTAGTAATAATCTCTTCTTTTGACTTAGTCAATAGGATTATATCATCAACAAAAAACATGTACTTAGAGATTTTTTTTTGATATGTTTAGGTAGAACGTCAAGGACTAGGTTAAACTAATAGGAGCTCAAAAATGATCTTTGATGTAGGCTAATTCTTATAAAAAAGTTTTCTATCTCACTGCACGGCATTCCAACATAATTGTGACCCCTCGTACATATCTTGGACTAAGTGATATACACCTTTCCTTGCTCTCTGGAGAACTTCTCTCCATATACCACAAATATTTGTCTTTATAGCCAAAGTACTCAATGGCAACATATAGTTTGATTGAAGACTATGGGCTCGTTTGAAACAGCTTATAAGTAGCTTTCCAATAGTGATTTACGGAGTACGAGGCAAATATGTGAAAATAGTTTTGTCCTGACTTATGTGAAACGTGTTTATAAGGAATTTCCACCCCTTTGCCAAACAGGGCCTATATAGGTCACAACTACATCATAAGTCTCCCTCTTAGAGGGATATCATGTCTCACGATTTGGCTTTTGTTTGGCTAAATAACAGATAACATCAAATGTCTTAAAAATATTTTTATGCCAATCACTAGGCTTCATGTGGTGGCAATACAACATAATACAGGAATTTAACCACAATTTTCAATCAACAACCCCATCATCTAAACACAACACGGTCACTACAATTCAATCACAGTTATCAAATATCTACACAATTGCCTAGTCTCACTCTCCTGTATTTACAATGAAATTTATTGGCGTTTGTAATTCACCCAAAAAACCTTATAGATTGAAATGAAACAGAGGAAGTTTGACCTCAGAAGCTTCACTATTGACAATGCTTTCAAAGAAGCAAAAACTTGTGCTGACTGGCCCAGGGTAACTTCTACATTAAGATTGTTAATGATCCGCTCTGAGTGGAAGGATCATTTGCCTTTTGACATGACTTAATTTATCTTGCCCATTTGACTCGCTGTGGTAGTCAGTGGTAACCTTGTTACTTCAAAAAGGGAAAAAATCGGAGAGAAATAATAATAATAATAATAATAATCATCGTTACAATAAAGGGTTGATTTTATGGGGTTGCCGGCCCAAGCGAAGGAACGACACAATCACTAATTCATTATTGACGAAGACTTTTTCTCACGAAACAAGCCTCTGAGGGAGTTCTGTTCTGGGCAATTAGGCTGTGGAAGAGGGTGGTGCTCCAATTTCGTCGTTCTCGCGCAATTCTCCGATTCAGTTATGAGCGAGGAAGGCAAGAACAGGGGTGTCCTCACCGATCACCCGCGCCAGCCTTACTATGGCACCTTTCAGGGCGTTGCCAACTATTACCCGGCTGCTCCACCTCCACCGCCGCAGCCTCAGCCAGTGGTAGGATTTCCTCAGCCTATTCCTCCACCAGCAACTTACGGTGCTCATTATTACCAAGGATATCAAACTGTTCCAGGTACGCGTTGAGATTTTTTGTTGCCCGCAATGTCGATTACTTCACAAATTATGGGCATAAATAATGCTTTTGTTATTAAACACGGATGAATTGAATGCGAATGCTTCTTAGAATGAATTTAGATACGGCCAACCTTTTGTTTTCTCATAGGATATTTGAAGTTGTTCCCAAATTCAGCAGTTTTGATTTGGTACGAGGACAAGTTGCTCACCCGTGGTTGATCTGAATCCAATTAGAATGAATTTTGGGGCAGTTTGATATCTGCTGTAATCTGTCTGGGGAGCAATGTTTAGGTTGAGGCGTTGTTCTGTTGCATTCTATAGCTAAATCGGTTCTAGTACGATTTGATGGGGTTTCAATTTTTCTCTGTGATCGTTATATTTTTTAATACATGATATTGCTTTAAGGCTATGGTTATGAATTGTTGGGATTTGGAAGTTTGAACAATCTATAATCTATTGCTTTTTTTTTTCTCCTCTCTAAATCATGGCTTTGAAATGGAAAAGAATAATGGCGGGTGGATGTTGAGGCTTATGAAATGACAGTTTGTGAGGCCAGAAAAAAGTACCAAAATGGAAGATATTGGTCAATAATTACGCTACTTTTTATTGTCCATACATTTAAAACATGAAGACTTTCAAACCTGACTTTTGCTCGAGTATCACTTTTATTATTTCTTACACATTAGTTAGTGCAGGAACAGCTCGAGAATGATTTAATTATCCTAAATTCTTTGTCACAGCTGTCAAGTCTGATAATTTTGATTTAAGAAGTTGGATAAGATTATTATAAACTTCCATGCTATTGATTTGTAGTCAATTTACAGAGTAGAGGTTTCCATTTCTGTCTTGAAAATTGATATGTCAAAGCCTTGCATGAAGGCAAAGGCACAACATTATGGCTCAGATCATAGGGAAAATTCAGTTTAAAGTAGGCTTATAAAAATTTTGGTAAACTATTTATTGGGATGGAAGAGGGTGACCGTGTGCTAAGAGCCGTGGTTGTGAACAAAATATCAGATTTTCATATCAATAGAAGTTGGGCCAGATGAGTAAGAAATAAGTTCTTCATTGCAGAGGCCAGAAGGGCGACATATGTGAAACGCCAAATAAAATGGTATGGTGCAGTAAGTTTGGTATTATGGACATGTCTTAGAAACGGTGTTCTAACTGACAAATGGCCTCATAAGATGCTTTCACTATTTTGAAATTGGCCAATTATTATAATAGTTTTAAGAGGTTATTTGGGTTGTATAAAGAGAAAGAAAAGAGGTTATTTGGAATGTGTGATTAGCTAGTTCTCAAATCAAATAGTCCAAATGGTTTGCGTGGTCTTGTTTTAAAAACATTGATGGAATGGTTCTTTGAAGATATAAGTCCTAGGATACATAATACATTTATATAGCTTTTAAAGTGAAAAAGAATATGCTGCTATTATATGTTCATTTGTCATTTTGACATATCTGTGTTCAAAGCTCCATTGACAAATTTCATAAGATGCATAAATTTCTGACCCCATGTAAAGTTGTCTAAAGTCAGTGTTTGTTCGATCTTTCCCTATTTGAATTGAAGCTCAGTGTTAGTTCGATCTTTCCCTATTTGGATTGAAGCTCGGTGTTTCTCTAGAATATATATATATATATATTTATATATATATATATCATTCAGAAAAAAAGGTTCTTGGCACCTTAATGATAGTAGTATTTAGCTGCTTGTTTTCACAGAATATGATAATGTAGCTATTCCTAAGTGCTTCTATCACCTTCCCAATATTGTTATTGGCATCTTATATCTGAGATCACTTACGTTAATACATGGGAATTCTTTTTATCAATTTTCTTGTTTTTGTCTTCTACGTGCACATCATAACGGTTTTATAATGCCCTGAAGGTTATGCTGTTGCTGAAGGAAGGCCCATAAGAGAACATCGTCTTCCTTGTTGTGGACTTGGTCTGGGTTGGTTCTTGTGAGTTTGCTGGCACTTTATTGAACCATTTGTTATTTCCTTTTTAGGCATCTATAGTTAAATGTTAAGGGGCACTCATGCTGTAAACTACATGATGTCTTCCATCTAACACTGCATATAATTGGATTCAAATGCTCTTGTGGGATCTAGGGTAATGAGAAGACACAGTCTCTGATTATTCTTTTCATGTGTTTGACATTAGGAATTCAAGAAATTTGTCTAGCCAGGGTGCCAGATGTATTGATGACCATAATTTAATTTGTATTGCAAGGTTTATAACGGGATTCTTTCTTGGTGGCATTCCCTGGTACG